TTTAAGTCTTGGAACATTATATTTACTTCACGGAGACAATGTTGAATAATAACTGAATGAATGAATGAATTTTTGATGAAGTGTTGTATGCATGGCTCGGAACCATCTGATTTGCCCTCCAATAACCAAAATCTGTAACAAAGTGTCATAGAATACCTATATAAACACTGGTTAATGTACAAACCAGCTGCTGCCTGGCAATGCATGCATCACAGTTGGCTGGCACAGTGGACACAGTTTCTTTTTTATAATGACTTTAAATTATTTTCTTTTAAGTAAAAGAAAAATAATAAATAAATCAAAGTAACCATATGGAAGCACAAAAGTGTATGTGATAAATGAAGTCAATGTAGGAAACAAGTAGTCTAGTTACAAAAATAATATGCATTTTCAAATTTCCTGTATGGTTCCAGTGTGCTAGTCCAATCCTATGATGATGTTTTCTGCTACCTCACTGTACATATTATAGCACCAAGTACATGCAACACAGAACTTCAGGCACAATTAAATTCACAGAGTATGGAAGTGTTTTTTTTCTGGGCACTGCCCACATTCTGTATTTTTTTCAAAATTTACATTTCTTGATCACTAACAATGCATGAGAATACAAGCCAAAGACTAAAGATCATTATTAGATATTCATTGCATTTCAAGAAGCAAGAAATATCTTACAAAATCACAATACTTTAAATACATCTTATATACATCTTAATAACTTTGCTTTCATGAGAAAAAATAATCAACAAATGATAGTATAATACACAAGTTTGCTTGTATGCTTTTTACTGGTATACTTGTGCCTAAACAGATGAAGTATATACATGGGAGCAATTCAAATTCCTAGTATGTATAGTATTTACCTTGCAAGACATTTGTTTCTGGTTCTGCTCCAAGGAAAAAGGAGTCTTGTGCTCCTATTCTTGGCATAATGTTCATTGTATTAGGATAAAGAGCCTTGTTTTAAGCCATTACCATCACAGAGGTGTGGAGAAGGCAAACCGTCAACTGCAAAACCCCAAAGAGGATGCAGTATTTCTCCAACCATGTCCACTCCACTAGTCTTCCTTTTGTGTTAAGTGACTCCACTCATTGTATACATATGCCCAAGCTACTTAGCTAATATTTGGCTATAATATTTGTGGCATTCACTGAAGACTGTAAATCATATCACCACCTTAAATTAGTATATATATATATATATATCAATATATATATATAAAGAGGTCACAGCCCTTAAAGATTGAACAAACAATTTACTTAAACAATCTAGTTTCTGAATTTTCTAAGTAATTTATGATCTTACTTTTGAAGGCTTTTTACAAATATTCACATAAATCATAAGTAAAATGAAAGAAGACTGAAAGACATTCTTCTTGGTATGGATTTATGAATTTACAATGATATGAAGAGATGACAGATACAGGACAAAGAAGTTCTTGAGACATGAACCAATTTGTAAATACTCAATAGATCAACATGAGCTACTCTTTTTTCCTTTTGAAAATTGCTGGTCTCCTAAACCCTTACAAGAACCACTGCTATCCAACACCACTTTCTTTCTAGAAATGCAAGGCGAGATAAAATGCACACGCCTCATGGCATTTGATACATCTGAATAGAATTCCTTTTGTACATTTTTTTCTTTTTAAGGTAAAGAGCACTGTAAAAATGAAAAAAATATAAATAAGCAGTTTTTATCACCAAAGATGTAAAGACCATTATCTTCCACAAATTCAATTTGTCTCCATATTCAGGTAATTGGATACATAAGGCAATGGCTAAAGATGCCTGGCATCAGACAGCCATTAGTTCACCAAACTTCTCTTGCTCACCAAGTCAACAGTATGGCACATGGTTACTTTCCATTTTCTGCCTGACTCAACGTGTTCCTGAAGTAATCATGATAATGGGTATCGGTCAACCCTGTGACATCTTGCCTCTTCCGACTGTGACACCTTTCCCAGTGAAATCTCTGCACTGAGCGCGAGTCACATGCTGGTAACATTTGCTCTTGCTTATGCTGCAGCAGATCAGGTACTGGATGAGGTACTTTGGATCCTGGAGAGGTAGTTTTCCCTCTCATTCTGGTCAAGGTACCACACAGTGATGGCATATCTACTGAAAGAAGAAATGGAACTCAATTTTCACAGTCATCAATATGGTGGTGTGGGGGGATTTTTCTACAAAATAAATGCAACTACATAAAATAATTACCTACATATACTGCTTCAAACGAATCATATCATTCAATGACACACATCTACACATACACATCATGCATATGCCAAATATCACCCAATAAAAATGACGCAATCGGCAATTAGCACGAACCTAGTAACACTGGCAGGCATCACTTCGTGGGGGTTGCGTCGGTCAGACCAGAAAAATAACATTCGGTCAAACAGTGGCTCAATGTTAGCCACCTTGTTCATGCCTTCTGGATAAATCCTCAGCACGCCACCATCCTGCAGAAAAAACAACACTTTATATATAAAAGTAGAACAAAAACATTAACAACAATATAGTGTGTATTATATACTACCCACACATTCATACATATGCTCTTACGGGTACACGAGCAAGAAAACACACACTTGTATATGTATGTAGCTTTTATGGATTTAAGTGTGTGTGTGTGTGTGTGTGTGTGTGTGTGTGTGTGTGTGTGTGTGTGTGTGTGTGTGTGTGTGTGTGTGTGTGTGTGTGTGTGTGTGTGTAGGTATATCTATATCTATCTATCGATATATGTATATGTGTATGTGCATGTTTGTGTGTGTTCAGGTGTGTGTGCGCATGAGTGTTTGTTTGTGAGTGTGCGTGCGTGTGTACATGTGCGTGTGTGTGTACATGTGCGTGTGTGCATGTGCGAGTATGTGTGTGTGTGTGTGTGTGTGTGTGTGTGTGTGTGTGTGTGTGTGTGTGTGTGTGTGTGTGTGTGTGTGTGTGTGTGTGTGTGTGTGTGTGTGTGTGCATGTGCGAGTATATGTGTGTGTGTGTGTGCATATGCGAGTGTGTGTGTGTGTGTGTGCGAGTGTGTGTGTGTGTGTGTGTGTGTGTGTGTGTGTGTGTGTGTGTGTGTGTGTGTGTGTGTGTGAGTGTGTGTATGTGTGTATGAGTGTGAGTGTATGTGTGTATGTGTGTATGAGTGTGTGTATGTGTGTATGAGTGTGAGTGTGTGTGAGTGAGTGTGCGTGTGTGTGTGAGTGTGAGTGTGGTGTGTGTGTGTGGTGTGTGTGAGTGTGTGTGTGCGTGTGCGTGTGCGTGTGTGAGTGTGCGTGTGTGTTTTGTTGAGTGCGCATTGAATGAGCGTGTCTGTTGGTGGCTGAGCGGCGGAGGCAGCCCACCCCCCCCTTCCCCCAGGGTGAATCAGCCGTAACAACCCAAACAGAACCTGCCTTCCCCCCCCCCCCCGCAGTCCCTCGATCAGATCCAAACCCAAACCCAGAGAAGTAATAACGATCGCGTCCTCGCAATGGGCTTCCTTTCCTCCGCGCCCGTGCTCCTCCTGCCCCCAACCCCGCCCATGAGGAGGACTTCACGCGCCCACAAGCCAGTCAAAGCCTCGCCCCCTCCCCCCCTCCCTCCCTTCCCCCCTTCCCCCGCTGGCTTATCATCGCAGGACTTCCCGTTCCTCCACGTAATCCTCGGCCAAAGAAAACTTCCTACGTAGGAGCCGCTCTCTGGCCAACAGCTCGCCCAGCCTCTGCATGCCCGTGCTTGTTTTTACTGCTGTTCATGAATCTGCTTCTGTCCGTGTTTCCCTGAAAAACTTTCTTTTTCCTAAGATCTGCTCCCTAAAACCCCCGTTGCGTGCAAGCCGACCCGTGCGCCATGCTTGCGGGAGAAAGGTGCGCAAAGCAACGAAAAATATCGTGGCATGAATGAAATAACGATCAGCCGAGAATCCGTGTCATTGCCATGCGTGTCAGCTGCAGAACAGTTAGTTTCATCTGCTTGTTTTTCTCCTGCCCGCCGCCCTGCAGGAGCCTCGTGCCCAGGAGCAGCAGCGCCCGAGGCCCAGCCCGGCGCCCGTGCTGGCGGGAAGGCCCACCGACGCGGCCCCGCGGCGGTCCTCCCCGGATTTCGCAAATATATACAAACATTAACTCCAAATCTTCCCATGGCGTACGTGACAGGCGGGGAGGCCCGGGAGGAAGCGTTATGGCCGCCCCGAGCCCCCGCCCCCCGCCCCACCGGGCCCTCGAGCGAGCGTAACACTTACAAGCACAGGTAGTGGGGCAACTGCAAGATTACCGCGAAATTCAATCTCTTTCAAAGGCACCCGCAGAGGCGCGGCGCCAGGGAATTACACCCCGAGAAAACACGCAGAAAAGGTGGTCTGGCAAGATGGTTGAGCAAAGGGCTTTATTCCATCTACACTGAAATTAAATTAGAAAAAGCGGGGCGCCAGCTCACTTCCCGAGGAGAGGCGGAGGGAAACTCGGCGGGAAAGACGTGGTTTCTGAACAGCAACATGAAGACCAGAGTTTGACCCTTCCGCTGCAGGGGCGGAGGCGCTGGCGTGTCGAGGGGGAGCTCCGCGCCCTTTGGCCTCCGCTTTATCGCTTCTAGAACCGACTGCCACCTGCGCGAGCCGCCGCCGCGCTCGCCACGGGGGAACAGGGCCTGGCTCCGGACATGGCTCAGCCTCGCATATCTGACCTGTCCTTAGGGCGAGCGACCTGCCCAACGATCTGGCTGACCTGCGTATTAAATATTGAAGTTTATGAATGGAAGGTCGGTCAGCCAAGGATCAGACGTTGCGGTGCCCCCCGCGCCCATTCCTCAAACCCGCTGCAGGATTCACTCGCAGGGGAGCCTGCTGGCTGGCTGGAGTGCCACGGGAGGCCAAGGAAATTTTCCTACAAGCCTCCACTGTGCAAGAGCACTGTGAAAATTTAAATCTACCTACCTACTTATTCATATATTACTTTTAAGTTGCACGATTTATGCATACAGAAGAAATTATAATTTACTGGTAGAAATTATGATTAGCGGCTTTACACCCACCCGCCATGCCCTCAGAGATACCTCCGCCTTCAGCGCGCGCTCACGCGCTCACACATCACGCACACACACCACACACACACACACACACACACACACACACACACACACACACACACACACACACACACAGAGGTCCCTCTGAGCCTGCCGAGGGCCGACGTACCTCGGGTCGCCAGTCCTTGTTGATGTAGTAGATGGCCGTGATGCAGCGGCCGTCGCCGTTGGGGTTGTCGACGTGCTTGACGTAGTGCGTGCCCTGGCCCGGGTAGCACGCCACCATGGCCTGGGGGGAAGGCAGCAAGTTAGCACATCGATCACCGCACAGAAGGGAGCAGCATGCACATCATCTAAGGGCTATATAAGGGTTTATTTTTCAATGAGTGTCACATTATAACTCCTAACCATACAGGTGGTGAAGATGGGCAAGCAGGGTGACACGCACGCACACACGCACACACACACAAGCGCTACAATATTCTTGATCGTGCCTAGGAAAAGGTTGGACTGTCTGGCAGTGTGTTTGGCTAGAACCTGATCCACTTACATGTATTTATAGATAAAACCAAATATATAATTGTCAAATATAGCCTTGAGGTCTGTAAGTCCATTTATCCTTTACTTTTAAGAGCTCAGTGAGGTGTAAAACATCCATGCCACCTAAAAAAAAGTTGTTGGCAGAAGCGGACAGAGCTTAACGAGCAAGAAAACCTTTGTATTCCCAGTCTTCGTTTCACGCGCGACACGCCCCCCGCCCAACTCAACGGGTGTGTGTAATTTCGTTATGCGCGCCTGTGACTCCATCTCTTTTATCAGAGAATACTGGCGTCCTGAGATGACACGCCGAGGGCAAGAGGGCCGGAACGCCATGCCCTTGCCTCGCCCGTCCCCAGACTGGCCGCTCCTGGCAAACTAAAGGCACTAAGCAAGGCCACGGTGTTGTTAGGGCCTGCGTGTGCGTGAATGAAGACAACCGCAACACCTAAAACGTATTCACAAAGCTACAAGTAGATGACCCCAAGGGGAAAAAATCTGGAACAATCCGAGTTGGTTCGTATCGAAAAAATGGGCCGAATCTAGTCTCGCGCTGGGAGGAAAACGGGTTAACCTTTGAGGAAACTCTGAGGTCGGGACCTCGGCTCTGCCCTCCGCCCTCGGCTCGGCCTCGTCGCACGCCGCCGAGCAGAGGGAGCAGATGGCGGGAGAGCCTTCCATCACGAGAAGCACGATGGTGGCTGAGTGAGAGAGAGAGAGAGAGAGAGAGAGAGAGAGAGAGAGAGAGAGAGAGAGAGAGAGAGAGAGAGAGAGAGAGAGAGAGAGAGAGAGAGAGAGAGAGAGAGAGAGAGAGAGAGAGAGTCCTCCTCCTCCTCCTTCCAACTGGTCACTTCTCTACCAAACAAACGGTCCCCAACAATGGTATAAATCTAGCTTCGTCATTCCGATTTGACAAACGGCAGCAGCAGGAAAGGAAACGCGTATTATCCAAAAATAATCATTGTTTCATCTACTGCTACTGCAATAAGACATGTATGTGTGTGCGTGAGTGTTTAGCTCTTTAATTCGGCGTCCGCCAGGGCCTCGGACTCCGAAACCAGAATTAACAGCAAGCAGCATTAACCGCCGGAGGCTGATGCAGCATCATCCTTGCTCATCTGTCTTCAAGGCCGGGGATTTTACGCGAAAAAATGGTAAAAATGGGAAATCCTGAAGGTTGTTGCTGAATACATTCTCTCTCTCTCTCGTTCTCTAGCTCATTTTCTCTGCCTCTCTACCCCCATTCTCTCTCTCTCTCTCTCTCTCTCTCTCTCTATCCCATTCTCTCTCTCGTCGATCAAGTAACATTCCAAACGAAATTGCCTCAAGTGTCTGGAATTCACAGGTGACTAATGCCCTCGGCGCCGGGTTCACGCTGGCCCTTTCGCCGACCAGGACCCTAAATAGACACTGATAGACAAATGTACGGGTTTTTCCCCGGGAAACCGTGACGACCACGGGTGTTGGCTGCAAGAGGCCGCGTGCTGAACGGATATCGGAAACTGGCTTCGTTTGTTATATGTAAATTTCTAAATATCTGCGCGTTAGTAATAACGTCCATTATTCGACTCCATCCTGGCATTACTGACTGGGCCTGGAGGGCGTGGCTAACGCAAGCGTCATCACCCAACCACCACACTGGACCCGCATGCACACGCAGCCTCGGACAGGACTCGCACATACCCACACACGCACTCCGGGCGGACCACCGCCGCCTCCTCACACAACCAGAAAAGTAAACAGGGATGATGATTATCGAAGAAGAAGAAGATGATGATGATGATGATGATGACGAGCGATACTGATGCAGATGAGAATGAAGGGGATGAGACTCCTGCCGAGCAGGGTGAGGGCGCCGACGACGGCCGAGCGAGCGATCGCCGGCGGCGCCCGCGGGGCCACTCACCCTCGTCCTCCACTTGATGTTGTAGCTGGCCAGCTGGCCGGCGTCCTGGTGGTTGTTGCACTTGGCCACCAGCGAGTCCACGACGGACACCAGCTGGCCGATGCTGGCGCAGTTGGGCTCGCTTCCGGTGACCCACGTGATCTTGTCGCCCCGAACGCGCCCGCGCGCCTGCTCCTGCCGCGCCATCACCTCGCCGTCGTGGAACACGCCGTGGCGGTGCAGGCCGCCCACCTCCGACCGGATCTGGTCGGCCCGACTCTCGCCTGCAACACGCACCAACACAGCTTTAGCCTCGGGTCACGCCCTCGCGGACACGCTTGGACGCGGGACACATTTCCCTGCCCTGCCCTGAGGTGATGCTCTTTGCCCTCCAGTGGTTAAGCAGAACAGTGATACTAACAGGAATGGATACCATCATTCTGATAATCATTTTTATTAATATTATGATCACTATTGTTATTATTATAATCATTGTTATTGTTATTATTATTATTATTATTATTATTATTATTATTATTATTATTATCATTATTATTGCTATTGTAATAATAATCATTTTTTGTTATTATTATTACTATGTTATTGTTACTATTATTACAATGTTATTGTTATCATCATTCATTATTCCTATCATCCCCTCCTACTTGTCTCTCTCTCCCACTTCCCAGCATCTTGCTCCCATCGGTGGCGACCCCCCCCCCCCCCGCCCGCAAGCGCCCTGCTCCCTCCTCGCCCGCAGGTCCCTCTAGACCTTGTCCGCAGGCGCCCGCCCGAGCGTGGCCCCCACGGGACGGCGAGGGCGCTGGCCCCGTCCCACGAGCAGCTAAATGATCTCAAGACCCCCCCCCCCCCCCCTTTGCTTCACTGCGGTGATATTTTGAATGATGTATGTAAATCAGAAGGTTTTCATCACCTAGCAGGGCCCCTCCTCGCCAGAAGCCAGAGAGACGACGTCTCGACCCACACAGCCTGGCTTTACAAGACTCAAGTGGCCCTCCAAACCCTCCAAGCCAACCCCGTCCCTCCCCCTTCCCCTCCCCCGCCGCCACCCTGGCCCTCATGGCCCTAAGCCTCCCCGCAGGTCGTCAATCTGTCAATGAAACGGGACCCCCCCCCCCCGCCTGCCCTGCCTTCGACCCCTTCCCCTTCCCTCCCTCCGAAACCCTCCCCTCATCCTGGCCTCTTGTTATCCAAACCCCAATCGATGACGCAACCCATCCTCCGTCGGCCGTCTCCCAACCCCTTTCTCTGCCCTGCCTGTGCCGCCGCCCTTCGCCCCTCGCCCTCCCCTCGTCCTCGTCCCCCTCCCCTCCCCCTCGTCCTCGTCCTCGTCCCCCTCCGCCGCCCGTCCTGCGTGCCCCGCGAGCGAGGTCCCGCCGCAAGCACGCAGGCTTTGGCGGGGTTTATCATCGGCAATTAACCCCTTCACAGCCTCGCCGTGTTTGTTGTGACAGCACTCGAGGCCGACTCGGGCCCCAACAGCGCCGCTCAATTAGCTGCCGCTCGGGAGGCCGCCCTCGGCCTCGACCCCTCGCGCTGCGGCTCCCCCCCCCCCCCCACACTCCTATCCTCCTCTGCTCCTCCCCCACTCCTACTATCCTCACTCCTATCCTCCTCCCCCCCATCCTACTCCTCCTCCTCTGCTCCTCCCCCTACTCCTCCCCACTCTAGCTCTCTCCCCCCCACTCCTATCCTCCTCTCCTCCTCCCCCACTCCTCCTCTCTGCTCCTCCCCACTCCTATCCTCTCTGCTCCTCCCCCACTCCCTCCTCTGCTCCTCCCCACTCCTATCCTCCTCTGTCCCCCACTCCTATCCTCCTCTGCTCCTCCCCCACTCCCCTCCTCTCCTAATCCCTCCTCCCCCCCTCCTATCTTCCTTTCCTCACAACCTACTCCTTCCTTTATTTCCTCCTCTTATCCCACTCCTTCGTCTTCGTCCTCTTCTTAACCTACTCCTTCCTTAACCTCCTACTCCTCCTATCCTATCCCTTCTGGGTCTTCTCTCCCCTTTCCTCCTCATTTTCCTATCCTTCCCTCCTACTCTTGCTCATCCCCCTTTCCCTTTCTCCCTCAGCCTCGCCAGCTATTGTTGTTTTAGTCATTATCACCACTAATACCACTGCCATTACTATTATCATTGTTGTTAGCATGATCACTATTGTTGTTGCTATTATCATTATTATTACAACTATTATTATAATTGTTATAATCATTATCACTATTATTATTACTCTTATCATTGTCCTTATGATCATTTACATCATCACTGTAATTATTACTATTATCATCACTCTTATGTTCTTTATCATCACATCTATAATCATAATCGTTCTTACTTATACCCTTTTCTTCAGAATTGCTATTATTATTATCAATATTCTTGTCCTTATCATTATATTGCTAATTACAAATAACAAAAACAATTATAATTACTGCAACAATACTAATAATAATACTTTCTAAAAACAATAATAATAATTACAATAATGATAATATTACAAAAAACTAATAGATTGTATAATAATAAATACTATGACTGATCATTTGTTTAAGCAGCATTAATAACCCTAGAAATATTATCGTTTTTAACACTGTTTTGTTTATCACAATCCGTGATTATTAGCATGATCTTGAACGCATAACAAGTGATATTAAGACCTTCGCTTCCTCTTTACAATCCTTAACCAAATTCACTCCATCTACCCAACTGGAGTTCCCTTCACTTGTCTTCACAAAACCCGCTGTGGGCCTATTGATTCCTGTGCATACCATCTCGGTGTTGTGTGTGGGTGAGATCTGCAGGTTGCCAAGCAGTGCAACTCCTGCACCATCTGCTGGGTGATTCTCCCTCAGAGAGAGCCACACACAAACTGAGGGGCTTTCTCTTTTCCCGGTATCTGTGGCACCCATTCCCCTACAACAAATGCCTACATTCTTATGCTCTGGGAACTGTTCATGCCATCACCCTAATTCCTAGCACATGAAATACATGTGTCCTTCAGCCTTCTGAGTTTTCATTTTCTTACAAGGAATGAAAATAAGAAAGATTGATTGACAAACAGCAATAGACAGCAAGGGAGGAGTGGAATAGATTCCTAGCAAAAGTTATTTATCTAAGTCTGCAACTCATGTAGCTTGAAATTGTGACTTATCATAGCCTGCAATTCATGTAACTTGAAAATGTGATTGATCATAATGTGCTACCTATACAAATAATATATGCCCCCTCATGACTGGTCTTGATAGAGTTCATCTACCTGTATGATCAATCACTTTCTTAAAAAGAAAATATAAATAACTAACTAAACAAATAAATAATAAATAAATATAAGCATAGTCTCTTGAAATCAATAACAAAATTGTTGTGGGGAAGATAATATCCGCTGTATCTTATCTTATCAAAAACCAAAGGACTAGATCCAATGCAAGCTATGATCTCTTATCATGATGACTTACAAGCTGACAATTCCTGATAGTCACCCATTTTAAGGCTTCTGTACTTTATATAAATGGTTACATATAGTAAAGCCCTGTAGCTGTTTAATTTTGGTTCATTTCCGTATCACTTACAACTGCAGTTTTCACCCTATCAATATCATCTATAATAAAAACAATTACATAATCAACCTTTAAAATACACTATATCAATGAATCCAAGCAAAAGAAACATTTCAAAACTTGTGCTAAATATGAATGAAAGAGGTACACCAGAATATAGGCAGGAATTATTCCATGTCTTGTATAATCATTGATTTACTTAATACAATAACAAAAAGTCTTAATTATCTGGACTTTAAATGACATAAGAAAAAGGATCCCTTTCCTTTTATAGTCCGTCAATTTTACTTCCATAAAGTCTGAAGTGGACATACTGCCTAAATAATATTTATAAAAGAGATAACTTTTAAAAATATTTACTGCATAAATGACAA